CCGCTTGTGGGCGCAGAGCGCGGCTTCGAGCTGCCGCCGCAGCCAGAGGGCGAGGGCTGCGCCGTGCGGTGGCTGTGCTATTCGGCGTTGCTGCACGAGTCCAACCGGCCGGCGAGGGCGGCAGCAGGCGAACGGCACAGCGTCTTCATCGACGGCGAGGGGCAGCTCTCGTCGTGCGGCACACGGCAGCGGAGGGCGAGGAGGAGGGGGGGGGGGGGGGGGGGGGGAATTTTTCAGGGCTTCTCGGCCACGGGGAGGGGGTGAAGCGGTTTAAAAAACCGACCCGCCTCCCGTCAACGCTGGGTGACGAGCGTGCCGTGAGCGTGTCGGCTGGAGGTGGCCACAGCCTCGCCATCAGCGCCGACAGAGCGCCGTTTGGAGCTGGGGCGATGGGGTGTGTTGCATGCTGGGCCACGGCGATGAGCAGAGCGAGTCGCTGCCCAGGAAGATCGACATCTTCACTGGCGAGCGCGTCGTCGCCGTGTCGGCGGGCAGGGCTCACAGCCTCGCCCTCGCCGCCGACGGCGCCGTTTGGAGCTGGGGCTATGGCGACGATGGCCCGCTGGGCCACGGCGACCAGCAGCGCCAGTCGCTGCCCAAGAAGATCGAGAACTTTGCTGGCCAGCACGTCGTTGCTGTCTCGGCTGGCCAGGGCCACAACCTCACCATCACCGCCGACGGCGCCGTCTTGAGCTGGGGCTGGGGATACTCTGGCCGGCTGGGCCACGGCGACGAGGAGACGCAGCTGCTGCCGAAGAAGGTCGAGGCCTTTGCAGGGCGGCGCGTCGTCGCTGTGTCGGCTGGAGGCGACCACAGCCTCGGCCTTACCGCCGACGGCAGCGTCTGGAGCTGGGGTTGGGGAGGGAACGGCCGGCTGGGCCACGGCGACGAGCAGAACCAGCTGCTGCCCAAGAAGGTCGAGGCCTTGGCTGGCCAGCGCGTCGTCGCTGTGTCGGCTGGAGCCGGCCATAGCCTCGCCTTCACCGCCAGCGGCCCCGTGTTTTCCTGGGGCGAGGGTAGACGCGGCTTCCTCGGTCACGGAGAGGACCTGTCGGACCAGCTGCTGCCCAAAAAAATCGAAAAATTTGGTGGGCAGAACGTCGTTTCTGTCTCGGGTGGCCAGGGGCACAAACTCACCATTACCGCCGAAGGG